AAGCAAAACTTGAGTTTGCAACGTATCAGCAATGATTTGCATGGCAATTACAGGTTAGTATGTGTTATAAATAGTCTAGCGATGATTTAAAGTACGTTGTGCAGGTGACATGCAAACACTGCTGTTTTATGTAAGGGACTCGAGCAGCCTCAGATGTTGGTGTCCGCAGAGGGCAGGCGGCTGTGTTTGTGTTTGTACCAGCAGGAGGAAGGTGGAGAGGATACAGGAAGCTAAAGAAAGGGGTGCCTTTGGTGGTCAGGGGTGGGTGGGGCGGGACCAGACACGAGATTTCCCCGTCAGACTCTTTATGCCGTTTCACCCGTCAGCCCTTGTAATGTATTAGCTGTTCAAGACTATAAAATCAAATTAAAAATGAAATAAAGTGAAGGAGCCTCTGCTGACCTCACAGGACTCTCATGACGGTTCACTGTCTAAATGGCCACGAAGACCTTCTCACAGCGCCGGGTTCCTGGTTGGCCTTGATAAATGGTCCTTTTTTGAAGGCTTTATGACAGAGGCAGCGCTGGTTCCCCAGATAAACTGCTCCTCTTTGCCCTGGGAAGAGGCTTGTGACCATCGGGGCTGCCAGCCTAGGGTGAACAGGACCTGCCCTATCGCCCAGCTGGGCAAGGCTGGTTCTTGGGGAGGAGCCTGGGTCCCCCCTCCCCCTTGGAGGGTCCACCCTGCCCCTCCCTCCTTCCTGCCAGTCGGAGGAAAGGAATGCCAGAGGGCAGACTCAGGTGGCTCTGGCCAAGGTCCAGGGAAAGGGAGGGACACTGATGCCCCTGAGAGTAGTCACTCTGCAGGGAAGGGGCAGTGTTCTCCCTGAAGGGGCCCCCAGCCGTCACTACCCCTACGCATCCTCACAACTGCCCCCAGGGCCCCTGACCCCAGAAGTGGGGGTGGGACCTGGGATGAGCTGGACCATGAGGACATCCTGCTGTGCGCCCCCCACCATGGCAGCCAAGTGGGGCTCTCTGGGAGCTGAAGGGCTGGGACTGGCACCCACGCCCTGTAAAGGGGCAGCCTTTGCAGGGGGGGTGTTTGCTGACCTGAGAGCAAATGGCTCATGCATCTTAGCACAGCTGGCAGCGTTGAGCGCTGCCCTTCCCGCGTCCACGCCGGCCATGGCTGTCCTTTGAGATGAGGGACGTGGAGGGTCGGGGAGGAGGGACACTTGTCCAAGGTGGTGCGCGCCTGGCTGTGCAGGGCCAGGCCCAAGCCTCGGCCCCTGAGAGTGTCGCTGGCGCACCTGCTCTCAGGGCCCGGCTGGGCTGGAGCAGTCCCTCAGGAAAGCTTCTCTGGGCCAAGGGCCCTCCTGGGAGTGTGCATGGTCCACCCCAGAAGTTGGAGGGAGACAAGCAGACAGAGGCCCCCAGCCACTGCCCCCACCCCTACAGGCTGGTCCTCCACCAGGAAGCAGTGAAGGTAGTGCAGGGGGCTATGGGGAGTGGCTGGGAGCCTCTGTCCCCAAGGGGTTTCCGGGGTGAAGGAGGCGGTCAGCTCAGCTGGGAGAAAAGCAAGTCTGGAAACTCTCAGTCTTGAACCAGTCCTTTCCTCCTCCAGCGCAGGGACAGGGCTCCTTGCGTCTCACATATGGCTGGGGGGCGGGGGATGGGGGGCAGAGAGGCCCTGGAGAGGGAGGAAGCAGGAGTTCAGCTTCCAGATGCTCCCCTGCCATCCATTGGCTTTGCGGCCATCCCTGAGTCTGGCTCCATGTCCCTAAACTGGGCGTAGGGTTGACTCAGGACCCAGCTGAGGGAGCTCACTGTAACATGCAGTGTCCCCAAGTGAGGGACTCCCGTGACGATGATGACAACGCTTATACATGCATGTGTTATTAAGTAACAAGGCCAGTTTCCATTCACAACTTGAAAACAATTCTGTCAAGGTTCCTTCACCCCCAGTCCCCAGCCCGACTGCCTCTCCGTGTTCACTGGGCAACAGCCGTGCCCTCTGCACAGCGCCCCCTGGGGGAGGTCCCTGCTGATACTTGCAACCCATCAGCTGCCAGCGGACCAGTTGGGGAGGGCACATGGGCTGTCCTCGCCGCGCCCAGGCCTGCAGCCACTGCCCCAACCCGGCACTGCACCCGCGGGTTACACAGACACAACAGGAGAGCTGGGCCCCGTGTTCTGGGGCGGGGGGCACTTGAGACCCAGGTAGTGGCAAACCCGCTTGCTCATGGCCACCGGTGTCTCACTGAACTCTCTCATCCCTGTGTCTGACGGCCTGTGACCCAAACCTGTGAATGACAAAGGAGAGGGCCAGCGGTGACCACAGCTCTGAGATGTCCTTTGCACCCTGGACACCTTGCCACGTGCCCCTGGGGCAGGACAGCCACATGCTGCGTACCCCCCTCCACCCCGGGAAACAGGCCTTCATTCTGCAAATAAACCCGCCATTTGTGCCTGCGGGACTTGGAGACCCTGCCAGCAGTGGTTCTCACCCCGGGGACACTCGGCAAGAAGACTGGAGACACTTTTGCGCTCTTGGTTGTCACGGCTTGGGCGGGATTAGGACCGTTGTCAGCAGTCTGTCTCTTGGTAATTACACTTGACTTTCGGATCCAAACAAAAAGAAGAAAATTTTTTTCCCAAGTTGTGTCTTTCCCTCTGGAATTGTAGTGAACACAGTACTGGTACCTGTTTACGCTGCGATGTGGGTTTTGTTACAGAGGCTCTCTCCCTTGTTAAGCTGATGACGCCTCGTGAGTGTGTGTGTGATCTGCGAGAAACCCCTGCGGTTCAACCCGCTGATGCTGTCTGTCTGTTGAAGAATAAACTTTGAATGGTCCCTCCCCTCAGCCTTGCTAGTGGCATCTGGAGGATGAAGGCCAAGGATGCCGCTAAATGCCCCCCGGCACCCAGGACGGCCCCGCAGCAAAGAATTATCCCATCAGAAACGCAAATGGTGCTGTGGCTCAGACACGGCCCGGGGAAGTTCAAGCCGCAGTGTGGCGGCCATGTCTGCCCCCGCCCCTGCAGCAGCAGGGATATCAGTCACTGCATGTTTTGAGTCTTTCTCTGCCCCAGATGCCAGGTGAGGTCCTTAGCTGTGCCCATTAGACTCCTCTGAAGGACCCGCAGGTTAGCTCTGTCACCTCCAAGCTAAGGAGGACCCAGCACCAAGACAGCACTGGGGTGTCTGCATGCAGTGAAACTGGGTTCAAGTGAAAGGCCTGTGCAGAGGTATTCATTCTGGCCTTATTTGTAATCTCCCCAAACCGAGACAACCCACGTGTCCGCCAACTGGCAGGTAGAGCTGGTTCCCGGACGCTGTGATTGGCAGCAGGCCAATTGCCAAAGCCTGGTTTCACGACGGTGGTGCGCTGTGTTTCCAGAGACGGCGGGGACAAGGCCTTCCACCAACAAGCAGAGTGTGTAACCTGGCCAGGCCTTGGTGACAGCCTAGGCCAACAGAGGGCGGAGGAAGAGACATTCCGTGCGGTCAGGGTTAGGCCATGAGACGAACTGTTTGGTTTTTCCAAATGCCAACCAGCCCTCCGGGTCTCCGGCCCCAGCTGGGTGTCCTGCGATTCAACCAGTTCTGCCCCTAGCTCCCAGAGCCAGCGCACAGGTGAGGGCTTCGGCCCCCGAGGTCGCCCCCCAGGCTCGCTCCAAGTCCCAGGTCCCCAGGCTAACCACACTTCTACTGGCCGACTACAAGTTGGGGAGTTCCCTTGACCCCTACCGCAGGTTCAACAAGCCACCATGACAGAGCAAAGCGCAGAACTCGGGAAGGCATCGTCCCCCGGAGGACGGTTGCATCGTAGAGGCTGCAGCTCCAGAACCGCCCTTCGGAAGGGAGGCTGAGGGTGAGGTGTCGGCAGAGGAGGGGCGGGGGCTGCAGAGCATCACGCCGTCTCCCCACATGGACATGCTCACCAGCCCGGAAGCTCTCAGAACTTATCCCTTGAGACTTTTCATCAGTCACTACGCAGGCACTTGTGATTCAGTCACTGGCCACTGACGATTGGGCTCAGTCTCCAGGTGCCCCCCCACGGAGCCCTGAGTGGGCGGGTGGGGTGCAGTCTCTCATCGTGTGGTTGGTTCCTCTGGTGACCCGGCCCCTCAGCCTGGAGCTGTCTGGGCCCCAGCCGCTGCCCTGAGTCACCTGTTAGCATAAACTCAGGTGTGGTTGAAAGGGGCTTGTTGTTGGGGGAGGGTACTGCTCAGGGGAAGAGCCCGCCTTAGCACGCATGGGGTCCTGGGTTCAATCCCAGTACCTCCTTTAAAAAAAACAGTTAAAAAACAATGTAAAAAAAAAAAGGCTTCTTGGGAATAACAAGACACCGCTATCCATCAGGAAGCGCCAAGGGCTCTGGGAGCTCTGTGCCGGGAACCCCGGACGGACTGTCGGCCACGGAGAGCCAAGCACAGAGGACCAAACCCTGCTTTATTTTTTTATTTAAAAACCTTGCAAGTGTTTTAATTGATGTGTAGTTGATTGACTATGCTGTGTTAGTTGCTGGTGTCCAGCACAGCGGTGCATGAGTCCCTCTCACCGTGTCGTGTGGAGCAGCAGTGTGGCTCCAGCCCAGCTGTGTCCCTGCGGCTCCTGACCTGGGCACGTGGGGCCATGCCGTGAGGGAGCTCGTGCCACGTCCCAGTGTCCCTGCCGAGGGCCCAGCCCACGCAGCACTGAGCACAGCGGGCCACGCGGATGCCCCCCACCCAGCCCCCAGCTCCATCTGCACCTGCCCTCCCTGCCCTACCCTCACCCCCAAGAACCGCCCAGCTGAGCCCAGTCCGCCCGACCAAGCCTCCTTGTGAATAAATTCAGGCTGTGAATGATCAGTGATCTGAGTGCCTGGGGGCTGGGCCCTCCTCTCCCTCCCCCGGCCTTTCCTCAGCCTGGGAACATCCGTCCCAACCTGGGAAAATCTGCCCCAACCCTGATTTCTGAGCCAAAATTTCGAACCCATGACATACTGTGCATTCGTGAGGGTGCTAACTGAAGAAAAGCATTGACTGGAAAAAGTGCGGCTAGGGTGCGGGTTAGAATCTCTAGGACATTTATTTACACGTATTTACTTTTAAGAAAAGTGTGTGAGGGTGGGTAGAGCCCAGAGGTGGAGCACGTGCTTAGCATGCACAAAGTCCTCGGTTCAATCCTCGGTTCAATCCCTGGTACCTCCATTAAGGAAGAAAAGAAAAGGAAGGAAAAAAAGTGCATGAAGGTGTGTCTCTAATTTTAAACCTAATACGTGGTCTTTGCAGGGAACTTGAACCAGCTGAAACAGGAAACAAAACCTCGTGGACCCCCCGACAGTGTGGGGGGGATTCTGATGGTGTGTAGGGACAGCGAGACGGAAGAGGTGGCGTCAGGGCTGCCCAGGACAGGCAGGGAGGCGCAGGGGGCACTGTTTCGGTGTCCTCACCCCTTCCCACCCCACTTAGCCCTAGGAGGGGAGAAAGATGGAGGGTCTTGGTCTGCTGCCCCCAGAGGAAGCACTGTGCCTGGCGAAGAGACCCTCCCCACCCAGGCCCCATCACAGTCCCCCTGATGTCGGCTGTGACCCCTGCCCCACCAGCCCTTGACCTCAGCCCTCCTCCCCCTACCATGCCAACTGGTCCCTGGTGCCCCTGGGGCTGCCACCAGCCTCCTTAACGAGGAAACCCAGCCTCAGCCATTCCTGGGAGACCTTGGAATCTGCCGAGGTGCTGGGTGGCGGGGAGGTGGAGCTGGGCCTGGGGCTCCCTATGCCTTAGTCCACGGCCCCTTGCCCTGGTTCTCCAACTATATTCCCTGGAACCCCAGGATGCCACAGAGGCGGGCCAGGCAGAGGGATCAGGGGCACCCAGCTTCTCTCCGCCCAGCTCTCCAGGGTTGACACGAGCCTCCTGCCCCCTGGAAGCCTCTCGAAGGCGTGGAAGCCACAGCATGTCACCAGGAGGACTGTGATTCCGTCTTCCTGCTTTCCACCAGAGGTGGGCTCTGGGCTCCCCAGCCTGGCCCCGGGGGCCTAGGTGCTCAGGGTGGGGGCTGCTGAGCCCAGCGACGGCGGAGTGTGACCGGCCTTCGACCCGAACTGAACGGAGAGGGGCCCTGCGGCCGAGATGGGACATCGGCTCCCACCCCATCTGATCTCTGCTGGCACACCAGGGTCCAGGGAGGAAGTGAGCCCCTCCTCCAGGCAGCACGCTGGGGCCAGGCCTGCGCCAGGGCCTGCCCTCTCTGCCCCACCCCTCAAGCCTTCGGGGTGTGAGAGGGAGAAACTGAGGGCCCGGGGCCTCTAGGGGTCGGAGGCCTGGAGCCCCTCCCTGCTCAGCAGGCTCCCTGCTCCCACTTGCTCCCTTCCCGTGACAGGGGCTCATTTCCTCGGGAGCGGGCCCGTTCTATTTTCGGACAATTGTTGGAAAGTGCTTCCCCACCTCCGGCCAAAGGCAGCCTCCCTGGTGGTTCCGCTCGCTGGCCAGGGTCTCGGATGTCCGCTCTCAGGAGATGGCTGCAGGCCCTGGGCAAGGAGTCATCGTCACCCAGCCCTGCGCAGGCCTCACCACGGCGGCGTCCCACGGGTGGCTTCCAGCATCAAACGCTCTGTCTGGGAATGTTTGTTAGCCGAGAGAATTCCCAAGACCTCCGCTTGCATGTCAGTGGGCTCCCAGCTGCCCCTGCCTGGGACGTGGTCATCCGAGTGCCCATGGCCCCTGACTCAGAGCTGAAGCCTAGTCAGGCACCGGGCTGGTGGGGCTGCCACGCGAATAAGGCGGCTTCTAAATTTAGCAGGCAAGGTAGTTGGGAGCCCACTGGCCCCCAGCCCCCTGTGGTCGCTCCCCAGGGTGCCTCATCTCATGCTCCCCACACTGGGAGTGCTGGGAAGGGCCAGGCCTGGCTGGGCCAGGGACCCTGACCCAGCCGAGGAGGCCTAAACCCAGGAGACGTGACGCAGGTTGGAGCCCAGCTCTGGAGCTCAGGCCTGCAGACGGGAGCAGCTGCTTCCTGGCCCAGAGGCCGTTAAACCACATGCTGCGGCAGCCCGCCTACCTCACCCTTCCCCCCTCGGGGCCTGGGCAGGCCCCTCTCACCTCTGTCCCCCACCTGCTGGCCACTCAGCCCCTGGCATCCGCAGCTTCCCTCTGCAGAGCCTGGGGGCCCATCGGAGGTGCGGCCCCTACACGCGGTCAGCAGGTCAGGGCCTGGAGGCCAGGGTTCTTGTGGAGGCCCTGGGTCACAGCAAAGGTGACCTGGGACTGTGGAGCCCAGAGGCCTGGGCTTGCCTGCCCAGACACATCCCTCCAGGCTGAACGTGATCATTACGCTTCTCCTCCGCGGTCTCCCTAGGCCCCAGGGCCTTACGCACTGCATGTCCGCACATCCCGCCACGCTGACTGAGCGGAGCCTGCTGCGCTGAGCCAGCAGGAGACACACAGCCCGGGAGCAGCGGGGGCGCATGTCAGGCAGGGGGAGACAGGCCAGATGGGAGGAGCAAACAGGTAAGCGACGGGACCTGGGGGCGGGGCGAGGGTTCCTAAGGAGGTTTCCAAGGGCAGGGCAGACCCAGTGGGGGCAAGGCCATGGTTCTGGGGGCAAGGGTGGGGGTTCCTGGCACAGAAATAGCACAAGCCGAGGCCCTGAGACCAGAGGCAGGTGCTGGGACGGAGTGGGAGGGAGAGCGGCAGGTCACGCATACTGGGGTCCTCGGTATGCAGCTGCCGTGGGCTAAAGGGAGGCCGCCAAACATGTCCACCCGGACCCTCAGGATGGACTTTGGGAAGTGCGCTCCTTGAGGATGTAATTCAGGTAAGGATCTCAACTGAGCTCATCCTGGATTAGGGTGGGCCCAAAACCCACTGGGAGAAAAGAGACACACAGAGAGAGGAGGCCCGGGGAGCTGGCGGCAGAGACAGAGAACGTGGCCACCAGCCCAGGAGCCCAGAACCGCTAGGAGCTGGAAGAGGCAGGAGGGACCCTCCCTTAGGGCCTCTGTGGGAGTGCGGCCCCTTGACACCTGACCTTGGACTTCCAGCCTCCAGGACCGTGGGAGTGGTGTCTGGTTTAGCCACCCGACCTGTGGTGTTTCCGCAGGAAGCTGATGCCGGGGGACTTGGGGAGGTCTGGAGACACCTGCGTCTTTGGGGAGCCTGAGGGATGCATATTCCTGGGCCTGCGCTGGGGCCCATGGACTCAGAGCTCTGCGTGGGCTGCCTTAGCGGCCCCTCCTCACCCCTCTGCAGCCTCCTCCTCTGTCTTGGACCAGGCGTGGCCAACTGGCTGGGTGGACGGGCAGCACTGTGGGGGACAGTCCTCCAATGAGGCCCACGCATCTGAGCATCTGAGACCCTGGGCTGCTGTGCCCCGGGACCCGCAAGGGAAAGATATGTCCACCTACCCCTCAACCTCCAGCCTCCAGGACCCCGACCCCAGCATCTGGGGCTCATCCAGAATGGTCAGGCAGGCCAGCTTTGTTCTGCAAGGGCCTTGCATGGTCCCTGGGGGGCACTCCCCTTGAGCGCAGCCACACTGGTGCACAGGTGGCCCAGGGGAGGGCACTGGCAGGAGAGTGGACACAGCCTGCCCTGGAAGGGGAACCCCGGAGGGCTTCACGGAGGAAGGGATGAAGCTGGGAGGCTGGGTTTTGAAGGAAGAAGAGGTTGTCCAGCGAGAAAGAAAATGGAGAACACATTCCAAGGAAGGGCCAATGCTGCAAATGCCAGGCTGGACTGTGCCTGTCCCGTCCTGGGACAGAAAGGGAGACTGGGACCCAGGTGGCCTCTGTGGGAGGGTCCCATGACAGCCTCCCCGCCCTGGGTAAACACACTCTTCTTCAGTCCCCAGTGGAAAGTTTTTTTCTGGGACACTCACACAATCACAAAAATGAACCACACAGAGAGGGTGCCTTGCGCTGCCGGCCCTCCCCTGTAACCATGGAGACCACTGGGCGTATTTCTTTCCAGACTTTTTCTACTTTTAGAGAGATGTGGTCACTTCCTACGTCCTGGTGCACGGACAGCTTCTTTCCCTGAGCCATGATTGTGCAGTTTCACCACAGAAGGGTCCGTTTGGTTGGTCTTTTCACAGCAGCTTCTGAGAAGTGTGTTGTCTGGATGCCTCATGGCTGCACTGAGCAGTCCAGGTTGCTGGACACTGGTCCTCCGAAAGGGTCAACCTGGGGCCTGCATTTCTGCACATTTAGGGTCAAATCCTTAGAGCAGTGGCTGGGTCAGAGGTTGGCACAGCTCACAGAATGGTGGCTCCTGCTAGAAGTGCCCCGTTCCCCACAATGGGCATGCGTTCACACTGCACGAGAGTCAGCTGGAGGACCCCAGAGGAAGGCAGGCACTGGGCAGTCTTCGCTGGAATCTGGCCCTGGTTTGATGGCTGCCTTCCCACTGCTTCCTAGAACCCTGCTGTCTGCGGCAGCTGGCAGCCCAGCTCCCACTGGAAGGTCTGAAAAGAGGGTCTGCCCAGCACTAGCAGGGGAAGCCTTGATGGGGCAGGCTGGGGAGGCTGCCGGGAGCCTGATGCAGAGGGGGCATTTCTTGATGCCCCCACCCAAACTCACCCCCTGGCTGTCCGCCCACCCCCGTGTCCCTCCACCCATCTGTCCTCCCCATGCTGGTCTTCCCCTTTTAGGCGGTGGGTTCCACTCTTCACTCACTGACACTCCTCCCCCCTCAACCCTTCTCCATCGTTCACTCTTCTTCTCCACCCTCCTGCCCAGCCATCTGTAGCAGTTATTTATTCTTGTGTAACAAACAACCTCAACATTTGGTGACTCTGAAAAGTAAGATGTAGGGGAAGCGAGGAAGTGTTTAAAGAATGATGGAGTCCTGTCAAGAGAAGACAGGAACCAGCTTGATGGGGCCCCTACTGATTAAATCTAGGAAATCTGAGCATCACATAAATAACCATAGTAAAGGAAGATATTCTGCTGAATAAAGAAAGAAGCCATGAGTCCAAACTGATGGGAAAAAATGAATAAATGCAAAAGACACTACTGCTCTTCCTGTTGCAGAAGGGGCATCAGAATGCCAGCTGAGAAACATGGAAGAAATGAGAAGAAGAACACCTCTTGCCAGTCATCACCACCATCACCACCATCACCACCATCATCACCACCATCACCATCATCACCACCATCATCACTTATTCCAGCACGAGCTGACCAGGGAGCTGAAAAGCAAATTTGTGGGGGAAGAAACATTTACCCAGTCTCAAAGCTTATTTTTAATGCACTTCTTTGCTACAAAGGCAAAATGGTAACTGAGAAAGGAGAAATCCAGCAGGCACCACCTTAACCAAATAATCAAACTAACTTTGTCCATAACGGGATAAGTTAACATCATGTACCTACTGATAAGATGTAATGAGAAGAATGTAGCATCACCATGGTATTCCTGCCAAAAGTGCATAACCTGGACTAACTTGTGAGGCTGTACTGGACAAATCTGAATCGACAGGAATTCTGCAAAATAACAGACCTGGACGGTTCCACGCTGTCAAGGTTGTGAACGACCAAGGAGGACTCAGGGACGGTTCTAGATGGAAGGGCCCCCAGGAGGCAGGGCAACAGAAGGCGTTGCAGGATCCTGGATGTCTCCCGTCAGGACAGATGCTACTGGAACAACTGGCAAAGTCCCAACGGGACCTTAGACTAATGAAGAGCATTATTTTGATGTTAATTTCTTGATTTGATAGTTGAACTGTTGTTATGTAAGAGAATTCCTTGTTTTTAGAAAACATACACTCAAGTATTTAGGAACCAATTGGAATCTTCTGTAACTTATTCTTAAATGGTTTAGGAAGAAAAATTGGAACAGAGAGAAACAGGTAAAACAAAGACAGTAAGAAGTCAACCTTTGGGGCGCAGGGTGAAGGGTACATGGGAATTCTTTGTACTGTTCTCGCACATTTTCCACAAGTTTGAATTTCTGTCCAAAAAAGGTTTTTTAAATCTCCGTGACTTACAGTCACAGCATCATCATTTGCTCCCAAGTCTGCAGTGTGGGCAGGGTTGTCTGCTCCTCGTGGCACTGGGTGGGATAGCTTCCCAGACGGCGCGCTCCATGGTGGCTGTGGGTGGGTGCTGGGGGGGGAAGTTGGGCCTCAGCTCTTCTCTACCTGGCCTCTCCATGGGGTGGCTGGGTTGCAAGTGCCACCATCCCCAGAGACAGGAAGTAGAAGCTGCCAGTCCTGGAAGCCCAGAAACAGGCACAGTGTCTTGTGTGCTGTGTTCTGGGGCCAAGTACCCACAGGCACCAGATTCAGGGGGAGCCATTAGAGACCCCGCCTCTCGACATCAGGGGTCTCCAGGATTGTGAGATCATGTTTCAAAAATACAGCTACTCTGTATCCACGACCCCCCACACTGCCCCCCAGGATACCAGAGGCTCAAGGCTCTTACATAAAACGGTGTGATGTTCGCACGTGATCCCCACGACCCCCCGCGCTTTAATTCATCTCTGGATCACTCATGACACCTAACACGGCGTAAGTGCTCCGAGAAGAGTCGCCGGCACGCAGCAGATTCAAGTCTTGCTTTTTGGAACTTTCTGGAAATTTTTTCAAATATTTTTTGGTCTGTGGTTGGTTAAATCTGTGAATGTGGTTCCTATGGATATGGGGTGCTTGACCATCCAAATGGTGAAGGAAATGTTAATTCGCTGGGCTGTGGGGGTCACTTCACAATGTGTGTGTGTAGCACAAACTCGCCTCCTACACCTTAAACACTAGCATTTATCAGTTACACATCAGTAACAATGGAAAAAGTGTAAAGATTACTTTCTGCCAAAACCCCCTGCACAACACTCCCCCACCCACACCTTCATCCATAACAGCTTTACTGAGGCAGAACCCACAAACCGACAGAGGCACGCTGCTGTACGTAAGGTGAACAGCAAGGACCTCCCGCACAGCGCAGGAGCGCGCTCAGCACCTGCAGGAGCCTGTGAGGCAAGAGACCCTGAACGCGCACAACTGAGCGCTTTGCTGTGCACCTGAAACTAATACTGTCAGTCAATTACACCTCAATAAAAATTTAAAAACAAACAACTCAGAGACCACGAAGTTCATCCTCTTAAAGTGGCTTCTCGCATATTCAGTTATGTCCATCACCACTGAGTTCCAGAACACTCCCATTGCCCCAAGAGACACCCCGTGCCCACGAGCAGGCACCGCCATCTCCCTCCAGCCCCCTCGACCACTAACCTGCCTTCTGTCTCCGGGCCACCCCCCACCGCTTCCTGACGTCTCACATAAAGGGAACCACACGGGGCGTGGCCTTCGGCAGCTGGCTTCTCTCACTGAGCACCTTGTTTTCAAGGCCCGTCCAGGCTGCAGTGAGTGTCCGTGCTTCCTTCCGTCCGGCGGCCGGACCTCATCCCGCTGCGTGGGTGACGTGCCCTGACTTACAGAGCCGTCCACCTACCACTTGATGGACACTTGCTCCCACCCTTGGCTGTCGCGACGACCGACGCACTGGGAGCGTGGGCTGCAGGCATGTGTCCCAGTACCAGCTCCGTGCTCTTGGCCACAGCCCTGGAGGGGACTGCGGGGGGCGGGGGTGGGGGGCCGTGCTAACGCAGGGTCAGCCAGCCGGCCCCACAGTGACGTTTTCTGTCCCAGTGAAGAGCTCACCTGTCACTCTCGAGTCTTCAGTCACCAAGTACTCTCGGCTCTGTGCCCGCCCGGCCCTGGGGTCCCAGAGTTCCCCAGCGGGCGGAGGCTGCAGCGGGGAGGGGGACAGGGACCACATTCAGGGACTTGAGTCTCGGTGGCTTGAAGCCTATGAGGCCCCTGCCGTCATGCCTCCGGTGGCCTCTGCCCTGGGAACCTCATGCCCTGGCCCCTCCCTGCCCACAAGGCAGATGAGCTGCACTCAGGGTTGGGGGGACAGCAAGGTCTCTGCTCCTGCTCGTCCGACCAAGTGGCCCAGACACAGGGCTTACTCAGCAGACGCTCACTGCTCACGGTTCTGGAGGCTGGGCGTCCCAGATCCAGGTCCTGGCCAGTCTGGCTCCTGGAGAGCCCTGTTCTGGTCTTGCAGACAGCTGCCCTCCTGTGGGTCTTCACAGGGCAGAGAGAGAGTGAGAGAAGAGAAGAAAGGGGTCGGGGAGAAGACACTTCTTCTGAGGGCGCTAATCCCACCGCGCCACGCTCGCCACCCAAGCACCCGCAAGGACCTCTCCTAATGCCGCCACCCTAGGGGCTAGGGCTTCCACACCTGGCCCTTCTGTCCCCGCAGGTGTCCTCCCGCTCTCGGCCTTGTCACCCCTAGGGGCCCAGGGGCAGGTGGCTGGAGCTCTGAGCTGACCAGGGCCGGAGGGGTCCAGGCGTCCAAGCTCCAAGAAGGCAAAACTGAGAGTCTAGTCCCTCCCTCCGGCCTCTGGGGAGCCCAGCTGAGTCCCTGACCCTCCTTCCCTGGTCTCAGCAGGCTGTCCCTGACCCCTGGCCCCCACCCACTCCCTCAGGACCTGTAGTCTGGGCTCTGCTGGCCGGGCGGGACCACAGCCCCGGGGCTGCGACCTGTGCTCTGAGCCCCCGGCCCTGGGCCTCAGTTGCTCCCCCTGCTGAGAGCAGGGGCTGGGCTGACCACCTCTAAGGGCCTCGTGGCCTGTTTCCTGGGGCCCCGGGGTTCCGAGCAACAAAGTCAACCACAGCAGGGAGGGCAGCTGGGCACTTCACGGGCTTTCTAATTCAATCCCCACACGACCGCCTTCCTGCCCCTGCGGCGGCAGAATGGCCCCCACCAGCCATGGGGGCGCTCCTGCCTCTGAGTGAGGCCCCTCTCCTGTGGTGCGGGAGCCTCTGCGGGCCCCCCTCACCAGTGGCCGCTCACAGAGGGACCCCAGGTGGGACCCTGCCCAGCCCACCTCAGCCCCCTTGCTTCCCCCCCGAGCCTTGACTGGCCCTGTCCGGGGAGCTCAGTGTCAGTCTCTCTGGGGTTGGGGGTCCCGTGGGGGCTGTGCTCCAGCAGATGCCCTGGGAGCCTTTAGACCCTTTGCTTAGACCCCAACACCCTGACTGCAACTGACGTTACAGCCGAGGGAGGACTGACCACGGCCCGCCCAGCGCCAGGCGGGCAGCCGAGGCCACCAGAGACGCAGGGGCACCGCCTCAGCCAGAGGAGCTGGGAGTGCTGGGGGGCGGTCAGGGAAGGCTCCTCCTCGGGCCAGGGCTGGGCTGAGAACCGCGAGGCTTCTCAGCACAACCCTGCGCTGAGAGACCTGACCGACCCCGCAGGGCTTCCAGCTGAGGCCACGTCCCGGGACCCCAGCCCCCTTCTGGGTTCCCAGCTGGAAAGCCCTCAGGGGCCAAGAGGATCTGCCGATGGTTGGGCCAACACCTGACACAGGCCCCGTCCCTCCTGAGAGCATGTTCCAGAAGGCGGGCAGCTGTGACGCCCTCCTCTCCTCCTACGACCAGGGGGTCTCTCTCAGGGACCACAGGCGTCCTCTGAGCGCCAGCCTCAGGCGGACGGCCTGTCCTGGGCTCCGGGCGCTGGGCCCCTGACTGGTGGCTGTCGGCAGCCGCCAGCGCATCTGCGCTGGCCACACGGCCAGCTTCCCCGGAGCCCTCTCCCTCTCCTGCCTTTAAGACAGTGCTTTCCCCCGCTGCAGTGGTCACTGGATAAGATCTGCTTCCCAGGTTTAGCTAGTGTCTGACTTCGTTTCTCCGTGACGCCGCCTTTCTGAAGCACTTGGTCTGCGAGGAGAGGGCTGCGTCCGTCACAAGTGATTGCCTCTTCCTCCGTGAAGGGGCCACCACTCTGCAGGGACCCCTCAGCGGTCCCCTCAGAGGAGGCCACTGGCTGCAAGTGGCGGGTCTGTGGGCTGGGCCGTTGGCCCTGTTCCTTGTTCCTGGTGAGGAGGTGGGACTACAGCCAGAGGCCCCGGGACTGCAGAGCCTGAGGACGGCGTGAAGACCCCAGGAAGAGGAGGCCGTGAGGGTCTCAGCGTGGACCCTCGCTCAGAGGGTGATGTCCTCTGCCACCGAGCAGACTTGGTAGATACCACAGTGACCCACTGCGCAGGCCAGCAAACTGAGGCCGGACCGACGCCCCCGGTCCTGCCCGGTGAGGGCCCGTGTCCCCCCTGGGGGCTGGGCTGGAGCTGGCCCGTCCCTCCTGCCCTGCTGCCAGCTCTGTTCATTCGCGGCCGCGGACTCCCTCCTGGTCCCCACCGCAGGGGCCCAGAGCCTGCCTTCGACCCACAGACGGGAGAAGACACTGAAGGTCCGGCACGGGCGGACTGGGATCCGGGGCCGCCCTTCCTAGCTGCGTGTCCTTGGGCGCGTCCCTGCGGAAGGTCAGCCTCACCGGAGGAGGCGGTGAGAGCGCCCCCTCGCCAGGTAGACAGCAGCGGCCAGGCGCCGCCGGCCTCCCGCCGCGAGAGGGCGGAGGAGGCACCGCGCAGGCGCCGGGTCCCTCTCGCCTGCCCGCCCCCCGCCCCCGCTGCGCTGTTTTGCTTCCGGTTGTCCCGGAAGTAGGGGTCCAGGGCGGCTTCCTGTTCCGGGGCGGCGGCGGCGGCGGCGGCGGCGCTCCGGTGCGATGCGCCAGGAGTGAGCGGGCCGCGGCTGCGGGCGGGACGGACCTTCCTCGGGTCCGAGGCGGGGTCGCGCTCCGGGCATCACTGCGCGCGGCGGGCCGGGCCGCTCGCCCCAGGCCCCAGCCCGGACGGTCGAGCTGAATGAATGGGCGGGCGGCTGCCTTGGCGCCGGTCTGCGCTCCCCTGAGGCGGCGAGGAGCGGCGAGGGGCCGGGGACCGAGGCAGGATGAACCGGGCCAAGCCCGCCGCCGTCCGCAGGCCCAGCGCGGCGGCCAAGCCTTCAGGTGCGCGGCCTCTCCCGGCGGCGCGCGGCGGGCTGCTTCGGGGCTTCTTCCTGACTCCGAGGCTAAGGCGCTTTCCAGGAGTGGGGTCTGGAAGGGTAGCCCTTGGTCCCAGGCGGCGCTGGGAGCGCAGGGCGCGGGGTTGGGGCAGCTGCGACTGTCTCGTCTGACTGCGTCCGAGGCGGGAGACAGCAGCCAGGAGTCCTGGTCCAGGGGCGGCGCAAACGCAGCGGCTGAAGGCGGATGGAAGCCAGACTGGCCTCCGCTCCGCGCTTGACCACTCGCTAGCCGTGTGGCCTCGGGCTCGTTTCCTAACCTCTCTGTGTCTAGGTGCGCTCATCTGTAAAGTGCCTGGCCTATAGTAAGCTCCCTGTGGCCATCGACCATCGTTGTTGCTACGGCCATGAGGTCCCAGCTCTGCTGTGGACTTGCTGGGTGGTCTGTTTCTTGCCTCCCCTGACTCTCGTGTAGTCCTCCTCTGAAGTAGCCGGAGGTTGGGGTCCGTCTCCGACACGCTTTCCACCTGGGCCTCTGTGTGAAGGTGCACGTTTCTCCGCGTCTCTTCTCTGCAGGGCACCCTCCACCTGGTGACTTCATAGCTCTGGGCTCAAAGGGTCAGGCCAACGAATCGAAGACGGCATCCACCCTGCTGAAGCCTGCCCCTTCCGGCCTGCCGTCGGAGCGCAAGCGGGATGCTGCGGCCGCTTTGGCTGGTGCCTCGGCCCTGACCGGCCTCACCAAACGCCCCAAACTCTCCTCCACACCCCCTCTGAGCGCCTTGGGCCGCCTGGCTGAGGCTGCAGTGGCAGAGAAACGCGCTATCTCCCCCTCGATTAAAGAACCATCTGTGGTCCCCATTGAAGGTAAAATCAGCCCTGGAGAACGCAGCTTACACCTTGTCTGTCACCAGGGGTTGGGAAGGGCCACCTCCAGGCTCAGCACCATAGCTGTAACGCAGGCTGTTTGGAGAATTGGGGAGGGGAGTTGTCTGGAGTTTGTCTTTCGAAGTGCCTCTCACACAAATGCCCCCGCCCACTTGAAGTTCAGAGTCTGACAGTGATGGGGACGTGTGTGTGTGTGATGCAGGGTGAGGTGGCGCAGGTCGGTCTGGGGCCCTGACGTGCTGCTGCCACGTGGGGGGAGCAGCGTGGACAGCTGGTGCCTCAGTGGCCTCGTCTGCAGTTATCAGGGCTCCTGTCAGTGAAGCAGACAGAGCACGTGCCCGGGCTCCCTGGATTGGAAGGCGCAGTGTGGGTTTCCCTTGTCTTTGCTCTCTGTGGCTCCCCGCTTCGGGGGAGGAGTGGCGTGAGGTGATGCGCTCCTGGTGGACCGCCGTGCCTGTCCTTTGGGAACAGGCTGACTTCTCGGTTCACCTGCTGGTCTGACATGTTTGCAGAGCACCTGCTTGGCGACAGGCTGTGCTTGAGCTCAGGGGTGAGTGGCCGCGGAGTCGGACGGGTGCTGCTCTCTGGGCTGTGTGTCTGGTGATTACCCCTCTCCACCGGGATGGGGAGGCCCGCCCTTCCTCGTCCTTTCTCCTAGTTACAGACAGTGAGTGGTCTGCCTCTCTGCTTTATTTCCTTTTAGCTAGAGAGGTAATAAAACACCAAAGACAGATCTAAAGCTCATGCGTAAGCCTGTTGTTTACACAAAAGTGTTTAATTCTGTGTGCATGTAGCGTGGCCCTACTTTTCTGAACCACTTTCCTGTTGATTATTTCTAGTGGCTTCGTAAGACCTGTAGATCAGATTGGGTAGATGTCACACCAGGCCCGGTGTTGAGTGTGTAGGTGCTCGTGTGACAGCCGTGGGGGAGAGAAGGAGCGTCAGGGAACTGTGACGTGAACTTGAGCCTCAGAGACTGGATGGGACTTCGACAGGCAGTCAGGGGTGTTGGAGGAGAAACCGCTGAGCAGGGGCCTGCATCCTGGAGGAGGGGCCTGTGCTCAGGGGACCAGCTGGGGCTGGGCTGTGCTCAGGTCCTGAGCCGAGGCTGGTGGTGAGGCTGGTGGTGAGGGGAGACGCTATGCTGGATTCGGTGGGTGTGGGGAGCCCTGGGGGCATGTGGAGCAGGCGTAGGGCTGGAGCTGTGCTTTGGGAGAGGACCCTGCCCTTCGGAGCCGCGGGTGCGGGTCAGGACGGCGAGCGCCTGCAGGGCCGAGGCGGACTCAGGCCGTGGTCTCTCAGCCGCAGACTGGGCTTCCTGGTCTTCTCGCTGCCTCATGACTCCCCAGAGGGTGGCTTTGAAGGCTAAACGGAACATGGTCGCGAACGGCGTGTTCTGAAGGATAAAGTACTTCACACACGTCTTTAGCAAAGCAGAGGGAAGGCTGGCTGTGGCTGTTTATAGCGTTTTCTCGGCCTGGACCTGCTGTGGCTCCAGTCCGTCTTTCCTGCCCGTTTGTCTTTTCCCCGGCACACAGAAAGCAGCCTGGAAGGCCTGCTGAACCCTCTGTGCTCCGTGCAGTTAAGGTAGCATCAGTGACACCACCTGCCTCTGTCTGGGCGTCTAAAACACAGTCGCAAGGAAGCCCCGGCATCAAAGGAGGCATCAAAATGAGAGTTAGAGAATGAGTGGAACTGAAACTGAATGTAGCAAACGCAGCGCAAAGGGCGCGTGTGACGGGGCCCAGAGGGACACTCAGAGGAGCAGGGGGCTTCAGTTCAGGGGGTCCTGTCGAAGAGGGAGGGCAGCAGACAAGTGGGGAGAGGGAAGGACTGATGCACGGATGAGGTGCCAGCAGCGCGGGCAGAGGGAGGAACCAGGGGTGGGTCTTTATCGAGACTGTGAAGGGGGAATGCATCTACAAGACAGCCTGGGGGGCTGGGGGGCTGGGGCCCGGGCACAGCCACAGTTAGAGAAGGTACTGTGAAACTTCGGGAAAAGGACCAACATGTGAACAAGTAAGCGTGTCTCAGGACCAGGTCGCTCTGTGGTGGCCACATGGGATGCAGCGAGAGGCGTCTGTCGGGGCCCAGTTGGCCCTGGGAACCCACAGGGCACTGTTCCTGCGCGCAGGCAGCACCTGCCCTGCTCCCGCCTCGGCTGCCACCGGGCCCTCCTTGGAGACCAGCTGAGTGGGGCACAGCCCTGAGACCCTTGCTGCCTGGTTTCTGCTGGTTGGCCTGGGGCTTTGGGGGCCCTGCGGGGCAGTCTCTGTTGTGGCCCTGGCTCAGACGGCCCATCTCCTGGCCAGTTGCA